GAGGAGTGGCTGGTGGATTTGAACTGCCAGCCGTCTGGTTAGCAGTCAAGTGCCTTAGCCACTATGCTACCAGAGCTCCCTAGGAATATTTGTTTTAGTAATATCAAGACAATGAAGTTGTCAACAAAGGCTGGAAACGACAAGGATTTATTGAATTAAGGGATGCCAAACATATGAGACAGTACAAACTAAGAAGAAGAGAAGAGAGTATAGGCATAGAGGATGGTCAGAAAGGACCAAACCCTGAAGAAGAATATCATGCTTGATAAACTAGAGGTTCCATGAAAAAGAGAGGACCCTGAATGAGATGGACTGACACAGTAGCTGTAATGATGGGCTCAAGCATAGCCATGATTGTAAGGATGGTGCAGGACTGGGCAATGTTCCCTGAGGTTTGCTATGAGTCAGGACTGACTTAATAGCACCTAACAACAACAAAAGTCCAGCAACTAATTAAACACTGAGGAGAATTCACATGAAGTTGGTGAACCTCATTAATGTCAGTATATAAAATAAAAATGCTATTACTCCTGCTTTTCCTAAAGCCAATGATTGTTACACATTCTTTCCTTGCCAAGATCAACCCTTGCTCAGAGAATCAAAGAACCTGCAATTATGTCCATTATTTTTAAAACAATTGTTATTTGAAATAGCCCATTTGTAATCCTTATAACCAAGAAAATATAATAAAAAGTGATTTAATTGGTATTTAGGGATCTTTTCCCCAAATTTTTAGCTTTTTTAAAAAAGTAAACAATTTGATATTTTTAACTGTAGAATTAAATTTTAATTCCAGGGTAAAGAATTTAATTAATTAATTATTTTTTGAGAGTTGTTCAGACTAGGATAAAGTAATGAGGTTGCTGATCGATAGACTTCAATCAGACTGTGACTATACAGCATGGATATAGTGTTTTATGTATTATCAAATTACAAGTTCAAACAAGACTAAGGAAAGTTAAGTTAAATTCATTGGTCCCAGACAAAGCCCACTAGAAATTATTCTTTGAAACTTTCTCAGAAAAAAAGTAAATTTGGCCATGGCCACGAATTCTTTATTTTTAGTAACTAATGACAACTTCTAAAACTAACAATAGTATCTTTTAGATGCACCAACCAAAAAAAATAAACTCAGTGCTGTGGAGTCGGATCCAACTCATAGTGACACCTCCTTGGGTTTCTGAGGTGGTATCACTAGGCAAATAGATTGCCCAACCTTTCTTCCAAGGAGTGGTTGGTGGGTAGTAATGTGAAATAATTATGGTACCTCTTTCCAAACATCATATATTCTCACTATCAATATCCAAGTATAATTCAATAGGTATTCATATCAGTTATCTAGAGCAATCCAGAGAGACAGCTAAAGTTAAATCTCTAAGTAATATGATAAAATATATAAAATATAATCTCATAAATCCCATAATCATTACTTCTCAAATATTCAAATAAAAACAGTGATGTAGAATAAATAAATAGATTGCTATGATTGGATAGTGCTTTTTTTTTTTTTACTTCTGTCCAAATAAGAGCTACTAACTATTAAGAAATATAAGCGAATCTTTTTGCAAAATATTGATTAATATATGAGAATTAGAATTTTTAAAAAAAGAAATTCAAAATTGCATAAACTTTTGTGATTAATGAATTTCTTCTGATTTGTATACATATTTTTATTTTTTTCAGTTGAATGAAGCAGCAATGAGGTTTGCAGAACAGTTCTACTTGATTAACATACATTTACTTCTTAGATGAATTAAGACCCTGGAAAAAAGATTTTGCTGCTACTGAGTGAATTTTTCTTTTATTATATGGATTTTTTTTTCTTTTTTTACTGTATCTCAGGTAAAATTTCAAAGCTCTTGTTTCCAGAAATGTTTTGATCATTGCTGTTGTTAGGTGTCACCCAATTATTTTCAATTCATAGTGATCCCATGTGACAGAGTAGAACTGTCTGTAGGCTATAGTCTTCATAGAAGCAGATTGCCAATCTTTCTCCTGAGGAGCAACTGAGTGGATTCAAACTGACAACCTTTTGGTTAGCAGTCAAGTGCTTAACAACTGAGCCACCAGAGCTCCTTAATCACATGTTGCTGTTGTTAGGTGCCTACAGTCATTTTTGACTCACAGTGACCCTATGCACAGCAGAACGAAACACTACCCAGTCCTATGCCAACTCCATGATACTTGCTATACTTGAGCCCATCACCTCAGCAACTGTGTCAGTCCATCTCATTGTGAGCCTTCCCCTCCTTTGTCCACCATCCACCTAACCAAGCATGACGTCCTTCTCCAGGGAATGGTCCCTTTTGACAACATGACCAAAGTAGGTGAGACGAAGTCTGGCCATTCTCGCCTCCAAGGAGCATTCCGGCTTCACTTCCTCCAGGACAGATTTGTTAGATCTTTTAGCAGTCCACGGTACTCTCAGCATCCTTTGCCAGCAGCACAACTCAAGAGCATCCACTCTTCTTCTTCATTGTCCAGCTCTCACATGCATATAAGGCAATTGAAAATACCATGGCTTGTGTCAGGCACACCTTAGCTCTCAAAGAGATATCTTTGCTTTTAGCACTTGAAAGAGGTTCTTTGCAGCTCATTTGCCCAGTGCTATATGTCATCTGATGTCCTGACTGCTGCTTCCATTGGCATCGATTGTGGTGTAGTGCCTAGGGCATTTAACTGCTAACTAGAAGACTGGCGGTTCAAACCCACCAGCCACTCCTCAGAAGGAAGGTTGGACAATCTACTTCCATAGTGATACTGCCTCAGAAACCCAAGAAAGGATTGCTATGAGTTGGATCTGACTCAGTGGCAGTGGGGTTTTTGTTTTTGGTAGAACCAAGCAATGTTTGACAATTTCAATCTTTTCTCCATTTCTCATGATGCTGCTTATAGGTCCAGTAGTGAGGATTTTTGTTTTCTTTATATTGAAATGTAATCCATACTTTAGACTGTATTCTTCAATTTTCATCAGTAAGTGCTTCCAGTCATCCTCACTTTCAGCAAGCAAAATTGTGCTGTCAGCGTAGTGCAGGTTTTTAATGATGCTTTCTCCAATCCTGATCCCACGTTCTTCTTCATATAATCCAGCTTCTTGGATTATGTGTTCAGTATATAGATTGAATAAGTATGGTGAAAGGATAAAACCCTGACACACTGTCTTCTTGATGTTAAACCATGCAGTTCTTGTTCTG